AAAAGATCAGGAGAGCAAGCCATAAGAAAAAAGGAGCTTAAGTCAAAGTTAGACTTTCAATGTCCTAAGGAGCAAAGATTGACTTTTGGAGTGATCTGAAGAACCCTAGCCCACCAATAGCCAGTTAGGTATGATCTTGGTGAGACCAATCTATATAGGAATTGAACTAAGTTTCTAAGCTAATTCACCAGAGACTGAGATACTGAGGGGACAAGGATGGAGGATAGTGGTGGTGGCAGGATGTTCTTATGCTGGTTCTTGCTTTGAAGTGAATATCTCCTTCTTTAAACTACCTGATGTTAAGTGGTTAAGTAGAATTATGGTACTAGTTACAGTCCCTTAACAATGGGAGAAATATAGCCAGTGGGATCTTAATCTGTGGCAGTAAAAAAAAAAAAAGAGACTCCCCTGAAGCCTTTAGGATGCCTTAAAATTCTGAGAGTGAGATGAAGCCAGTCTGACTGAGACAAGTGAGCCAGAGTGCATTCATTCACCTTGTTTTGGAAAGTAAATGAGGAAGCAGGTTGGAAAGAAAGCTGAGTTGGCAAGGCTGTGAGTCCCATGGTTAAGAATTTAAAATGCCAGCTTGTTATTAGAAGGTTGTTAATAATTTCATGTAGTCTCTTTTTTCACTAATTATTTTCAAAACTCTGAATGGGGTCCACACAGGACTGAGTTGCTTAAAAGGGGAAGCTCAGCTTTCAAGAACCTAGAAAGGTCATGAGGAAAACAACTCCTATTTGGTACCTGCTCACTGGTCTCAGAGCCTCTTGTCCACAGTAAAAGGACAAAAATAAAATGGAATCTCAGCTTGAAAGGACATTAGGGGACAGCCCTGCCTTAAAATATGAATCCACTTGGGTGAAGGGAGCCTTCTGGAGATCCAGATTTATCTCAACGGCTTGAGGAACACTGTCCTGTCAGTGAAGAACCACAAAAATCCTAGCAATGATGGAGGACTGTAGGGCCCCCTTAGTGCAGCATTTACATTTTCAAAGGCACATCTCTGCCAGGAGAGCCCCACTTAGACCTCAGCGGTTGATGTAAAATTTCTGAAGTTGCATCAGCTCTCCTATTTATCTTTCAGCAAATGCTGCTTCAAAAGACTTTAGGTCACTAAGGGTTTCTTACAGGGAAAGGAACTAGTTCAATTGATCCCCTTAGACCAAAGATCCTCCTGAACAAATACATCTTTTTCCTGTTTAAAATTGACAGTTTGCCGCTGCCACATGTAGGAAACCTTCATGAGAAATTTAGAGTCACCATCTAAAGGCAATGGTGTTTGGATTCTGGCATCTCAGGAGTGAAATCACCTCAGATGCCTTTAAAATATTGGGACAATTGTTTTGATTTACATAAACAGGGAGAGGGAAGGACCTGTGTTGTTTCTTAAAGCAGCTTAATTCTTGAATGCGTTCTAGATTTGCTGACCCAAAAATTTGAGAGAGATTAGGACTGGGGAAGAGGGGCAAATCCCCTCCTTCCCAAATTGTATGAGAGATGTGTACTCTACTTGATGCCTTAAGTCAGAGTGGAATATCAAGGTGGCACAATTCCTTATACTATAGAGATAGACCGAGAGGCCTCCTTTCAGCAGATGACTAGTATCTAGAGCTAACCATGCAGAGTTCTGATGAGCCAAGTGCCTGATTAGCTCGTCTGTGAAATCACCAAAGGAACAATGTGTGTGCTCTTCTCTCAGTATTTGGGGACTGTTTAAGGAATTATTCGATATCAGAAACTTCTCAGCTCATTCTCTGTGTCAAAGAAGCAGTAGACTTAGACCTATGAACCTTTACCTTCCATCTCTTCACTTGACCACCACCTTAGTTCAGGGCCTAGTCACTTCTTGCCTGGACTATTGCTCTTAATTGGACTCTGCCGGCTGTGTCTCCCTTCCACAACACCTTCCCTCTACATGGCTGCCAACTTGTCGTTCCTAACATACAGATGTGACCATATCGTTTCCTTGCTCTGTTAAGTCCCTCAGCTTCCTGCTTCCTCTAATATTAAACATTAAATGCTCTATTTGACATTTAAAGCCCTTCACAACCTGGCTCCATCCTACCTTTCTATTACCACCATCTCCCTTCTTATAGTCTACCATCTGGGTAAACTGGCTTTCTCACTCTTCTTCATGGCATTCACTTTTCCATATCTGTATCTTCACACAGTCTTCCCCCATGCCTGGAATACATTTTTTCCTCATCTTGACCTCTTGGAATCCCTTGTTTCTTTCAAGGTTCAATTGCCATATAATCTCCTATATGAGGCATTTCCTCATCCTCCCAGCTGCTATGTGTTCCACCCTCAAATTATATTGTAATTATTTTGTAGTGATTTCATATCTGTTAATATATGGGAAGAAAGAAAAAAATAAAGGAAGGAAGGAAGGAAAAGAGAAAGAAAGAAGGAATGAAAGAAAGAAAGAAAGGAATGCCTCTATCTACACTCTGAGTGAATCAGCTTTCTATCTGGAACTGGATTGCCTGTTTCATCATGAGTCTTTTGGAAATGTGGTTGGTCATTATGTTGATCAGAATTACTAAATCTTTCAAAACTGATTATCTCTACAATATTGTTGTCCAATTATCTCTTATTTGCCGATTCTAATAGCCTTTTCTCAACCCTTATCCTTCTTGACCTCTTTGCAGGCTTTAATGCTGTAAATCACTCTCTTCTCCCAGATGCTCTCTTCTGTAGGTTTTCCTGACTCTGCTAGTTCTCCTCCTACCTGTATGACTGATCCTTCTTTGACTACTATGCTGGATATTCATTCAGGTTGCTTCTGCTAACTATAAGTATCCCCTAAAGCTCTCTTCTTCTTCTATATTACTTCACTTGGTGCTTATCAGTTCTCATGGACTCCATTGTCAACTCTATGTAGATGATTTGCAGGTCTATTTATCCTGTCCTAACTTCTAGTCTTACTTCTCTAACTACCTATTAGACATCTTGAACTGGATATCCCATGAACACCTTAAACTTAACATATCCAAAACTGAAGTCACTCTCTGCATCCTCCCCAAACTTTCCCTCTCCTTAATGTTACTTTTACTGTTAAGGGTACCACCAGCAACCACAAAATCACAAACTAGGTTTCCCCTTTGACTCTTCATTCTCTCTCATACCCTTTCCAATATCTAATCTGCTTAAAAATCCCATTGATTCTACTTTCTCCAAATCTTTCATATCTATCTATCTATCTATCTATCTATCTATCTATCTATCTATCTATCTATCTATCTATC